TTTTTCTCTTCAAATTCAATCTTGAAGTAATTCCTCAGTAACATACGTTCTTTGAGATCCAGAGTCCATGAGAATTCTGATTGTTTCAAATCTCGATCCATTCAGATTTGATGCATCAATTTTTGCAGTTTGCATTAGGACCATACTTCCTGATGACAGTAGGCTGTTTTCTCGAACATTGTTAACTGTTTCTGAGTCACATAGTTCGGATGTTTCAACAAAGTGCGAGGTTTCTCTCAAAGGCAGCATTTTCTTGTTGCAGAGACTTCGGTGATGTTTCTTTGTCTGATGGCAATAGAAACATGGTTTGTCGACTTTGCAGTCTTTGCTAAGATGACCTGGCCTGAGACAAATGTAACATCTTCCCTTAATCTTCTGTTTTCTGTCTTCAACTCTCCTGAATTCTTGGCATTCGTCACTCCAGTGATTTTGTTCACAGAAGATACAAATGGGATACTTTCTTTGAATTTTGTTTCTTCTTGGAGATTCTTTAAATGATGTTGTTAAGGCTTCCGCAGATGTATGTTTTCTTTCATGTTCATATAGCATTCCAGGTGATGAAGATTTTCTAGCAGATTGTTCTTCATGACCGGTTAGGTTTTCCATATCTGTAGACTCTCTGGCTGCTATGTACATGTAGTTATCAAGAAATGATCTCAGCTTTTGCACAGTCCATTTCTCTTTCTTTCCTTTCTGTAATTCTAACTGTAATCTGGCTTCTTTTGGTAACTTCGTTATAATCATGGAAACAAAGACATCCTGGTTTACGTCCTGTTCCAATGCTTCTAGGCTGCGCATATGCTTTTCTAAATCATCAAATAGTCTACGGAGACTGAAGTATTATTGAGTGCAGGCTTAATGTTTATAAGGTCCATGTAATGTTTGTTAAGTACAGACTGCACATCTCCGAATCGTTCCTTCAATATGGAGAGAGCTACATCATAATTTTCATGGGAGAGCATGAGGCCGGAAATAGCAGATTGTGCCTTTCCTTCCATTTTACTTTTCAAGTAGTTGAACTTCTCAATATTGGAAAGCCCTGTGTTTTTGTGTACGGAAGCTTCAAAGGAGTCCCAGAACTCTTTCCACTTTAACTTGTCTCCGTTGAATGAAGGGAGCCCAAACTTTGGTAGTTTAACTACTGGAGTCTCTTTGCAAATCTTCTCCTTTCTGTGCAGTTCCTGAATTTGGAGTTCTTGGAAATGCATCAGTTGTTCCTGCATTTTTGTCTGCAGATCTATCATGTGGTCGATTCGTGGGTCATTTGGTGCTTCACTTTTCATATATGAAATGTCCACTTGTTCCAGTCTTTTTTCCAAGAGTAGAAGTTCTTCTGAGCGCTCTGTAACATCTGTGAGCAATTCAAACAACTTCTCACTATCTTCTGTAAATTTTTCAATTTCAGACTCATTGTCTTGTTTTGATTCCAAGGCAATGGAAAGTTCTTTCATCGTTTCTTCTAATTTAGCACCAAAGTCCTTTAACCGTCTCAAGGAAGATTGAATCTGCCTTATCCTGGTTGTCAAATCCTCTTCTTCAGCTTCTGAAGAAAGAAATGTCTTACTTTTGATCATTTCCTTCAGCAGTAGATTCTTGTACCTTGTACAAAGTCCTTTCAAGTATGAGGTTGACATCTTCTTCTTTTCCGTGATAAATTCTTGATTTCAGGCTCCAATTCCCGGGTTCCGGCACCAAACAATGTGGCAAATCACAATCACATGGAAATCTTTTTATAATTTATTATGACAATTAAAGGCAAAACAAATCCACAAGGGTTAACAATCACAATACCACATTGGCTAAGATGATCAGATGGTTTCTGATATGTATTCAATATTTCTTCAATGTAAACACAATATAAAATCGATAACAATTTAAGATCACAAAAACTCTCATATATATAGTATTGAAGAAACTTCTGGAAATAGAAACTTCTATAAAATTCTAGGTCATCACATTCTGACATATTCTAGAGATTTCTTGAGAATTCATTCACGAAACATACAGAACATTCTAGACTATACATGTACATCATAAAGTTTCTATAAGATACATTAAAATTGCGACAATTCGCAACACTCAGAGCCAAGATGGTGAAAGCTCACAAAGTCTTAGAGCTAAGTTCGTAAAAGCTCTCAGAGTTCGTCTACGAGCTTATAGATGGTAAAAGCTCTCATAGTCCATCTCGGAGGTAAGATATTAAAAGCTATTAATTGATACTCAGTGCGCACATCTTTTGTACAAGAAGCTGAACCATAGGGTTCACATTTTTGGTATAGCAATTAGTGAGTTAGAGTGTCACATCATTAATATCAATATTGTCCGCCCCTCACTGAAGTTCTGTCTCACATCTCCTTTTAGGATACAGCAATGTCCTCTGTTTACATTAACATTGTGCATCTTGCACATTCCTCAGTTAATTAGATGGCTGCAGCTTTGCACAAAGTCTGATTGGAAGTGTCAATGCTTGAGAACAACACATCGTAAAAACTAATTGTCCGTCAATTGAAGACGCTCTCTTACTGTATCCAATTTCACAGAGTTTGTAAACAAGCTCGTAATTAAGTTATTATTGTCCGTCGCTCTATACACTGATAGTGTCAATTATAATTCATAACACAATTTCAAAAATAGATAAATGTACTGTACAATTTTTTATATTAATTTAACTTATACTTTGTATGCTCATTGTGTTACACAGGTTAATGAACTAATAAATGTTCATTCAAAGTTGGTAATTTTAAATAAAAGTTAATTAGTTTTAAATACGATTCGAAAGTTACAATTGATTTGCTGAACTTCATTTTGTAATATTTACATTCGCTGTGTTTTTCTACTAAGCTAACTGTGAAATTGATTTGATTACCATTTTCGTGTATACTCACGCGTAGAAATATACACGGAGAAACGTGCGTTACCGTGACGTCACAGTAGGGCTACAGCTAGCGACGTTAGTAAAAGTAAAACAATATAGGGCAGCGAGAAATTCAAATATTGAGTATATTTTTGGTGGTTCCAAACATTTAAAATGTAAATATAAGGAATGTTTTTAAGTTAAGTGTGAATTATTGGTGTGAGAATCACACAGACTTGCTCGTAGGCATATTTTTCATGAAGCGCTAGTGCGCTTCACGAAATATGCCTACGTGACAAGTCTGTGTGATTCACACACCAATAACTCACACAAAACTTAACAACATTCCTTAAATAAATATGATATTTTCTATATGTAAAAAGAAACAAGGCAGAGCATTGCTTACCTTATGAATACTCTAAGTTCTGTATCTTGTTTGTTAATCAACAAATGATGTTCAAATTTTTGTTAATCAGTAGATGATGCCTAAGGTAGGAATTGTAAACATTAAAATGGGTTTCAAAAATCAGTTAAAACTGTGTCCAGGCCCCTTTAAAGCCATATATATGTATATTTTCTCTAATACATTGAAGGTGCCTGATAAATATTACTGGAAAAACAGGTGCCTGGCAGACAGATAAAGTAAAGTAGATAAATTACCGGGTATTCAATCGAATTGACCGTTCACGGTTGCCTAGTGGTAGAGCGTTCGCTTTGTGATCGGGAGGCCCGGATTCGATTCTCATTCACGGCGCCTCGTCGAACCTAAGACGTAGTCAGACGTGGCGCCGCGAATGAGAATCGAATCCAGTGGTGACTGTTCCTTCGCAGAGCGATCGGCATGAGAAGTGAGTCACACGTCTTTCGGATAGGATCTTAACAACGTAGGCGCTGGCACGATAAAGAACTCTCTCTGCTCAATGGCCCTGAATGCCTAGCATAGGTCTAATTTGAAGCCCTTCACCGACATACGGTGACGTCTCCATATAAGTGAAAGATTTTTGAGAGGGACGTTAACAATATACAATCAATCAATCAGTCGAATTGAGCAATTATCAAATACTATATTATAAAATTATTTTTTTTCCGTTGTCCACTTTGACCGGTACATCGAAACATAAACAGACAAGCAATTTTAGAGTGTCGGGAAATTCTAAAATATCGTGTTCATGTCTTCTAATCAAATAATTATTATCAACAAAGACCCTAAAATTTTTCAGTAAACTCAATGCATTCGACCATACGAAAATGTATTTCTTTATGGTATATAGGAAGAAAAACACTTGCTGTGGCCTTCGATCAACTCGACATTTAGATATATGGACGGCGTATTGTCAATTACCAATGTTTATTTCCATGTTTATGTCGATACAACATACCCTTATGAGCTTGAGATAAAAGATACTACTGAGTCTTACGCATATGTTTCATATTCGGATATTTTATTTAGAAAAGAAAGAAGTTCATGGTAATCCAACAACCAAGCTCTAAGATAAACGTCATGAATTTAACTTTTTAATTGTAAGCTTTCTTCACGTATGCAGCAAAATACATGCACCTTCATCAACTGCATACAGAGTTTACATGTATATCTCTCAGTTGATTCGATACGCTGGAGCATGCTCTAAGTATGAACAAATTCTTAAACGAGGAAAATTAATGACAAACAAGTTGATGCAACAATAATATCAGAAGCCTCGTTTTAAGTAATAATTTCGTAAGTTCGAATTCTATGGTCAAAACAATTATCTTGTCACCAAATACAATTTATAATTTAGTCAGATGCTGACTGACGCTTTCATTAATAATTATTAGACCATTATTTACACGCTGAAATGACGACGGATGTTTGCCCTTTTTTTTTACCTACAATGGGAAGGATGCTTACTGTTGCATAATACATGGTCTCCCTCTGATGTGTTGGAGATCCATGTTTACTCTGCTCTTATTTTGTATTGTTTTATGGACTCTTTTGAGTTTGAACACTGTTAGTTATCTCCGCATCTTTCAATTTAAATCAACCGGGTATTGTTTTTTGTTAATTCTCATTTCGTTTTTATATAAGCGTTTTCATTTTTTTTTCTCGTTTCGGCGCGTAAAAGATTTTTATTTTTGATATGATGACTGCATGCTAAAGATTCTATACCTTTGGATCCCAGTTCATAATTTTTGTAAAGTCATAGGCAATAGAAGGCATTGAAAGCAGACTGTAGAACGCCATGTGCATGTATGGAAGCAAGGAACCATCCTCTTTCAGAAATGCGTGAGTCTCCGCATGTGACTTAGACATAGGACCTGTAAAATTTACAGATCTACTAATCTTAATTCGTAATTCAACTATTTGAGGAAAAAAATTATGTCAGACTACACACATTAATAAAAATTATCAGTATTACATGAATGAAATTATAGTACTGTAATGTCCCTTAAGGAGGAATGCCACACCAACTTTTTATTTTATAGATCTCTGAGTCAACCTTTTTAAACAAAGGTTTCAGCATTGAAAGGCCGAAATTAGCTCTCAATTATTTTATATGAATTTTTTTTGTATTTTTCAAAGAAAATGAAAAAAATATTTACATCAAAATAATACACTTTGTTACAACGCGAAATGTAATAACAACGCAAAATGTAATAAACCTGGATAATTACATTTTGCGTAATTACATTTTGTGTCAAAATCAACGCAAAATGTAATAATACGATTTTTAGATTATTACATTTTGCGTTATTACATTTTGCATCGAGATCAACGCAAAATGTAATAACGTCCTTTTTCGTTGTTACATTTTGCGTTATTTTATTTTTGCACTGAAGACAACGCAAAATGTAATATATAATTTGTAATAAAATGAAACAAAATTATTTTTCTTTTGACTGCGTTTAACAAAAAAGAACATGAAATTGATCCAAATATATACATGTAACCAACATGGGAAACATGCTGTTAAAATGTTTAGAACTAAAACAATGAGATCAACGTTAGGGCTTTTACGGACATAAAATCATAAATACATCTAAAGGTATCGTTTTTCTGACCCTGATTTTATTTTTACATGTATATTGAATGCACTGTACTTACTTATAGAGAATTAATTTATCTTTGATTGGCATATTTTTGATAGTCTTTTTGAATTTCTAACCAATAACAGTTAATTACCGTAGGTTGACCATTGCCATTTGGTTCATTAAAAGCTCTTGATATGCATATTCGGCATGCATGTATACACTGGTTAACAAATTAGAAGTGTATGTGTGTGTGTCAAGCGAGGAGGGGCAGGGATAAGATGGGGTGTTTACTTCGTATGTTTATTATTGCATTGTTGTGGACATGCAAAAACAATCCATTTTATTACAGGATGGAAAGAAAGAGAGAGATAGCATTTTGTTTTGGCTTGTCTGCAATGATGTAAATTTGTTTAGAACAGTATGGTATCATTAAAGTCAATAAACCCCTTCCTGCTATACATTTACACCTTCCAGTACAAATGAATAGTTTTTTTTTTTTTTTTTAGATTCATTGCATTTGTCTATAAAAGAAAGCAAAAGCACACTGGTCAATACCCCCCAACAACCCTGCCCACAAATGCACGTTTCTAATTAGCAACACCTACATGTATAATTTGAAAACATTTCTTAAACTGATTTTAAACACAAGTAGCTAATTCAATAAATCAATATATTATAAAATTTAGTAAAATGTAAGAAATTGCGTATATTTTTTTCCTTTTGTTTTATTTTCTTTTCATCGACCACTACACTATTGAAAAATTGTACTCAATCTGGCTGACGAAAAAATTGTGTTATTACATTTTGCGTTCCTGCCTTTTGCTTAATCTCGACGCAAAATGTAACAACGCAAAATGTAATAATCCCAAATTCGTGTTATTACATTAAAATTTAATTTTACTTGTATCAGCAATTTCATTGGCTGAATCATTCTGAGGAACATATAATATTTTGGATAACATAACTTGCCTACGTCACAATGAGTTACGTCAAAAACGTATTACTGCGCTTGACGTTATTTTTAAAATAGTGCTCAATTTGAAGCCTTTTCCGGAGGAAATATTGTCTCATTGTCTACACTGAAATTAAATTATAAGAAATGAAGCTTATTTCAACTTATGTTATCCGATATAACAAAAATTGGGGCAGATTACGCTTTCTTATAAACCGCTTCCCGGTTTATAAAGCGTAAACTGCCCCAAGTTATGTTATATCGGATAACATAAGTTGAAATAAGCTTCATTCCTTAATTACGTTATTACATTTTGCGTTGATCTCGACGCAAAATGTAATAACGCAAAATGTAATAATCCTCAAAAGTGTGTTGTTACATTTTGCGTTATTACATTCTGCGTTGATTTCAACACAAAATGTAATAACGCAAATTGTAATAAATCAGGTTTATTACATTTCGCGTTGTTATTACATTTTGCTTTGTAACAACGCTTTCTTGTAAAAATTTTGTTGTAAATGAATGCATCACATTTATGTCTAATCAGATATGTGAAGAAAAGCCGTATAGATATTAATTTTTTTAAAATAAAAAAAATATTTATGAAAATACAACACATAATTTGTGAATATTTTTAAACCTATGGCTAAAATTTTCTTAAAACAAGTCACAACTGGGGAGAACAGTTCATTACTCATATTTATAAAAGAAATTGAAACAAAATAGCGAAATTTTAGAGAAATTATTTTTTTTAATTTTGACCAATCCCGATCAAAATTAAACCGATCCCGACCATAATAGCACAATAATCAATAACATTTCCCCAAGAACACTTGTCTGATTAGGTGTAATAAGGGTTAAAACATTATTGAACTTGACTATAAAATAGATTTCTTCATTGTAAATACAAGAAGAGGCATTAAATTAGTAGTTTATTCATTTTTTGTTAATTTTGATCGGGATCAGTTTAATTTTGATCGGGTTAGGTCCAAATATTAAAAAATTAATTTCTCTAAAATTTCTCAATTTCGTTTCAATTTCTTTTAAAAATATGATTGACAAACATGTTCTCCTCAGTTGTGACTACTTTTATGGTCTTTTTAACCATAGGTTTAAAAATATTCACAAATAATGTGTTTTATTTTCAAAAATATTTTTTTATAAAAAAATTAAAAAGTCTAACCAGCCTTTCTTCACATATTTTTAGAGATATTAATATGATACATTCATTTACAGGAAACTTTTAACTGGAAAACATCTTAGTTGGATATAATTATTTTTTTTCATTTTCTTTGAAAAAATACAAAAAAATTCATATAAAATAATTAAGAGCTAATATCAACCTTTCAAGGCTGAAACCCTCGTTTAAAAAGGATGACTCAAAGATCTATAAAATAAAAATTTGGTGTGGCATTCCACCTTGAAACTTATATCTATGTCTTTTCTCTTATATTACAGTGAACCTTCAGGTATCCGGACCCCAGATATCCGGATGCTTCAGTGTCTGGACAATTTTTCATCGGGACGGAATTTTTTTAATGTTATATTGTTTTGTTTAGCTTGTGATACAGGTATTCGGACGCTTCACATATCTGGACAAATTGACCAGGAACCAAAGCGTCCGGATAAATGAGGTTCCACTGTATATTTTTTCTATATCGTCGACGTATCGTCAATTGACAAAGGTAATTTCCATTCCTACATCGATACAATGTCCTGGTGAGTTTGAGACAAAAGATACAACACAGTCTAACAGATCTGTTTCATACTTCGATACTAGTATATTACTTGAAAAGGCATTACTGGTAATCTAACAACTAAGCTCAATGATAAACGTTAAGACATAATTTTTTTATCGTCAACTTCCCTTACTTATGCAGCAATTTACCTTCATCACCAGCATATGGAGTTTATATACATGTAGTTTATTCGATACGCAAGAGCATACTCTACGTGCGACCAATTTCTAAAAACGGGTTAATTATTGACGAGCAAGTTGATGAAACAAGAAAATCAGCAGTCTCGTTTAAAGTCATCATTTTGTAAGTTCTATGGTCGATACAATGACCTTGTCAGCAAATACAATTTATCATGGAGTCAATGCTGACTGACATTTTTCATACTAATTGTTAGTCCATTATTTATACACTGAAATGACGACGGATTTTTTCGTTATTTCTCGATCATGAGAAGGAGCACACGGCGGATGTGACCGACCGGCGGGGATGCTAACTCCTCCATGGCATCCGATCCCACCCCTGATGTTTCGGAGGTCCGTGTTTGCTCAGCCCCCTATTTTGTATTGTTTAATGGACTTTGATATTGAATACTCTTTGTTGTCACAATATGATTCTCACTACTTATCTCAATGGTTGTTACTTTAAATTTTAAATCTGTCTTTACAATTAAGTTATATTTATTCAATTACGTTTAATTATCTATAATACATACAAGAGCTAAAGAATTTAGTAAGTATTTATGTTGGTATTTTTAAATGAGAATTTGAAGAGGAACAAAATTCAATTTCATTTATTTCTTTTTCTCAAGTTTTATAAAAACATTTTTTACCTGATTTGAATGCTAAGTATTGGAAAACTGAGAACATTGACTGTTGAAATGCCGAGGACGTGTTATCCCTGAAAAGCAACGGTACCATTAAATGATCCTCTAAATTTTCTCCAACTGGTAAATCGGCAATCAATGATATCTGTTTTTAAATGGACAAACAAATGTAAATTAAAACAACAATACAAAATAAAGGAGTTTTTTTTTAATAAAAATGTATTATTTAAATTATTGTTTTAAAATATGTAGTCTCTAAGAATTGATTTTATTTAATTTCATTATAAAGAGTAATGGGAGAGGACTATGTAATTTTTTGGAACTTGTGTCCAATCCCTTTGACATATATTCAAAACAAAAACAAACAGTAAGACTGTTCTTTCAAGAAGCTAAGTCATCTAAATGTTTATGAAGTGATTTTTATATATTGCAAAACTTCCTTTAAACTGTTTTGGTAATATCATATACATGCATTAAAGATTTCCATCCCTTATAGGACCAAATTCTATAACCTTAAATATATATCTGTCAAGTACATAATACTCTGATATCATATTAAAGCATTTTATAATGGAAAAGGTTTGTTCGTGAGAATGTTTAAAAATGTCTTTAATAAGCAGTAGTTAATTAACGAATATTGCATTGAAGTCTGTGGGAAAAGCGTTTTTGCAAATTAAAAATTCAAATAATTTGAAATATCAATAAATCCTGCGGTGGAATGATGCATTAAAACATTAAAAATAGAATGGCAATTGAAACCAATTTTTTTCCTGACTAAATTTTTTAAATTGAATTTTTACATAATTTGAAACAGGGGTCATAGATTAGGACACATCCCACTATACGTACTAATGGTAATAAATAGGAATTTTATCTAAATAAACTGAGTATATTCAATGCCTACATATCTGTTACGTATTCAGTTTAATTGAATTTGTCCCGTGGGGCTCCGGGTTAGCATAGGTCCTCAATAGCCCTTTGCTTGTCGTAAAAGGCGAATAAATAGGGCGGTCCTTCGGATGAGACCGTATAAACCGAGGCCCCGTGTCACAGCAGGTGTGGCACGATAAAGATCCTTCCCTGCTCAAAGGCCGTAAGTGCCGAGCATAGGCCTAAATTTGCAGCCCTTCGCCGGCAATGGTGACGTCTCCATATCAGTGAAATATTCTGGAGTGGGATGTTACACAGTATATAATTAATCAATCAACCAT